AATAACTAAGATGTATTTCATCAGAAATCGCTTATAGAGTGATATATTCTGTATTCTGTTGAATACGTGGACTTCTGGACTCCAATTCTGTTAACTATGGGATATAAATATTATATAACTTATTATACTAATATTTGTAGAAATAATACAATTTATGTATTATGTGCTCAAGTTATGTTACATTCATTAATAATTTTATGTTTTACTTTTAATATATAATTTATAGTTTAGATCTAAAACTAAATATTTTTTCAATATAGTGTTACCGGTAATGGAATTATAAATATGTGTACACCTAAAACCATTTAAACGTTTTTGCTAAATAGCGTAAACTGTATATAAAATTTTTATTAAACTTTAATTGAACTTTTATAATGAATATTAAGAATTTCATTTATATGTTTGTTATTCATTATAAAAATTTTATAAAAGTTTAATAAAAATATGATAGAAGTTTATTAAATATTTTATATACACTAGACGCTATTTAGCAAAAACGTTTATATGGTTTTAGGTTTACACATATACAGTATTCATAACAAATACTCATTCAGAAATACTATATTTCTTAAGCCTTAAGTATTTTTTTAGTATTAAAACATTTAGTTATTGAATATTCAGTAGTGCCGTATAATAATAATACTGTATTATAAAAAATTTTGGTTCAATAGACTCCATTTAAATTTATTTTTATAATAAGTGAACAAAGTTTAAATAAGAATATTTACTATTATTGTGTGTAAATAACGGTAGAGTTACCAAACAAAAGAATATATTATAATTTACAAATATACAAAAGAATAATCGAGTTCAATTCAAATATAATAAAACATTGTTTCATTTATACGATTATAGATCTTTGATCTCTCCTTTTAAGAGTTTATTAAGTGTTATTTTGTAACTCATAAAAACTTTTTTTTTGTAAACTATCATAATATGATAGTACAGTATTATAGTATAATCGTATATTCATAGTATTACTGTATAAAGAACACTGTCATAATACAATACAGAATTGGCTAACTGGCAATCGGGATTTTTTGATTGTATATGAACGACCATTCAATGTTGAGTCAGAATATGTAATTTATATTGTTCTATAACCTCTGGTTCNCGGCACTACTGAATATTCAATAACTAAATGTTTTAATACTAAAAAAATACTTAAGGCTTAAGAAATATAGTATTTCTGAATGAGTATTTGTTATGAATACTGTATATGTGTAAACCTAAAACCATATAAACGTTTTTGCTAAATAGCGTCTAGTGTATATAAAATATTTAATAAACTTCTATCATATTTTTATTAAACTTTTATAAAATTTTTATAATGAATAACAAACATATAAATGAAATTCTTAATATTCATTATAAAAGTTCAATTAAAGTTTAATAAAAATTTTATATACAGTTTACGCTATTTAGCAAAAACGTTTAAATGGTTTTAGGTGTACACATATTTATAATTCCATTACCGGTAACACTATATTGAAAAAATATTTAGTTTTAGATCTAAACTATAAATTATATATTAAAAGTAAAACATAAAATTATTAATGAATGTAACATAACTTGAGCACATAATACATAAATTGTATTATTTCTACAAATATTAGTATAATAAGTTATATAATATTTATATCCCATAGTTAACAGAATTGGAGTCCAGAAGTCCACGTATTCAACAGAATACAGAATATATCACTCTATAAGCGATTTCTGATGAAATACATCTTAGTTATTGAAATAAAACCCAAACAAAAATCTCACCATATTTTGATTCAATGATTAGATATAGTGTCTATCAATTCATAAATTTTAAGAAACTCAGAAAAAAGTTGGCATAAATTCTTATAATGATTTCATTTGATTTCAAAATAGTAAAATAATTATAATTTATAAAACTTATTTTCAAATATAAATGTATTCAAGCATAAATATAAAAGCATTTGATTAAAATATCATATTTTTATAAATCCAATTACTGATCACTTCATATTTAGCTATTTAAAAGTAATTCGTATTTCTAAATGTTTGATCAAAAGATCTTGATGATTTCATTGACTATATTGTTTGAGACATGGCTTGTATAACACAATAGACTTGTATTCCTCAAATTCAATTGAAATGACTTTGTTTATATGAATATGTTTCACGTCATTAACAAATTGATGACCACTAATATTAATCGGTTCAACACGTGTAATACAGGAAATGTATGATCGATGAGATGGACTTTTATCATACTGCCTAATATCAAGTGCTGTCTGTAAAACCAATATTTATTGCAAAATCCTGTAAAATGTGATTAAATATTTTCACTTAAAAGATTATAAGGCCATTTGTTTCCTTAGTGTTTATATTTATAATTTTCTTCATTATAAATAATTCTGAATTTAATGAGCAAATATTATTGCCCATTTGTGTCAAATATATCATTTAATACTGTTTTAAACAAAATGTAAAACCTTTTTTCAACAATTTTTCTTATTGTTATCACAACTGATTCAATGATATGTTTAATATATTCGTAGTGAAAGGTTGAGATAATTTTATTACAATTAAAGTACAATTCTCTGATTATAAGAGAATTGGTTGTAATGTAACACATGTCACACAATAGCTCCCAACAGAAACAATCAGACCATTTGATGCAATACTTTATGAGTACAAATAAGTACTCCATGGGCTCATAATTATTAGGAAAGTGATCAGTATAATATGACTTGATTGACATAGTTATAATTACATGATCATGTTCAAATACTACCCATATATTGCTTCCGTGTGAATATAAAATTTGTAGGAATTTCTTGAAGTCTTATACTATTTGTACTATTTGTACTTGGTAACAGTAGAATGGCGTTAAGCGTTTGTCTTAATAACCCATAAGCTTTCGGTCGGTTAGGAAGTTATGTAGAAATTATAAATAAATTTATATCGGAATGTTAGCTGCAATTGCTGAGTTACCAATACTGTACAACATTTTGGTTTTATACTGGCTGTATGGCTGAATACAGTAATATTATACAAATAAAGAACCTATGTAAAATTGACTGTATTTGCCGAAACAATTAATGTTAAATTGGCAATAAATGTTAATTATATATGGCAAGCAAGCACAATCGCGCAATTTCATATTAGTCGCTCATCTGGAATGTTATATTAGGTAATAATAAATAAAACAAACATCTCAACTATTATTATTAATATAAATATTTATTGGAACCTAATATATGGTATGAAAGACTATGAAAGACAAAAAACAAATACCAATAATAATAATAATATTGTAAGCAATTATCTAAACTGTATTCACAAACTAAATAGAGATCTATTTGTCATAAGTGGTGGTACTGTAAGGGAAGACATGATTTGATGACAATATGAATACAATAAAAGGGAGTGTTAATAAACATTGAGGACAAAGCAATAGAAAAACGTCAAATATTTTTAAAAATTATTTTAATTAAAATTCAGTTCATATGAGACTAATAATCCGCTTTTTGTTTACTCTCTTTTATAAATTCAAATGAATAGACGAATAGTTTTGAGAAATTATAGTATATTACAAATGAATTTTTGGAAAATCACGAATAAAAACATTATTTTTGATCAAATAATTGTTGCTTTCGATGAATATTAATATTAATGATAATCAAAGATCACAGAATGAATCGATTTATCCATTGAATTTAATAACAAACTGTCTATACGTTAGCACACATTATGAGCACTTGGAGGTCAAGTTCACTCTCATTGTCCTAAAACTGAGTTCCAAAACAGCCGTCAAATGGAATCCAAAATTGGGTTTTAGTGTAAAACTTAATGAATAACGCGAACCAAAAAGTTAGGCTTAATTTCAAACATTCATTTGAATTAAATTAGACATCTGTTGGACTCAAATCACTTCTGACGCGAAGGCTTTTTCTTCTTCTTCTTATAAAAGCAACAGCATCTGCACCACACATACATCCAGATTATCAATCAGTATTACCATCAATGGATCAATTCATCAATGGATCCATTCATCAAACACTCACTTTGTTTCTGATACCACTTCCACTTCAACGGGTCCTGTGATCGGCGTATTCGAGTGACCAGTGGTCGGGTCATCAGCGGTGAGGTCGCCGTTTGTAGAGCTCACCACTTGTACTGATCCGTGTCTGTCAGCGGCAGTGAGACTGCCTCCCAATAGCTTAGCGGCACCGCTGGCGCCCATAATGCCTCCCCTGTCCTCCTGTCTATCCATCCACGCGTTCTTATTTCGATCCGTTAACTGATAACACAATTCAATTAGTTATACAATTAGAGCAAAATCGTGACTCCGATTACCTTAATATTAGAGGTCGGGTGTCGGTCGCGTGGAATGGGAGGCGGATCTGTCATCTGATGCGGTTGTGACTGAAGTGAATACAATTGGAGTCAATATACTGTACGTGAGATGAGTAATTCGTGTAATACCTGCTGCCTTCCAGTCCAGTCGTATTCACCGTCGTGTTGATGGCCTTCCCTTTCAAACAAATCTATGAATAACTTCTTGAGGTATTCATAGTCTGGAGTCTCAAAGAAGTCAAGTCTCCGAACGTATCGCAAATAAGTAGCGAACTCTTCGGGATAGCCCTCACACAACACATCGATAGGTG